TGTACAGCCCCCAGGTGAGCACCCTAAAACATTCCAGATAGAAAGTCCTGCCCTCCGTGGTATTCAGCAAGGGACACCTTGCTCTCCTTTGACTGGAGGAATTCTGATCACGTGGCTCAGAGGTGTGAGGCGTTTGGAGTGCTCTTCCTGGTCTTGGTGGGGCAGGACCCAATCATCCCTGAGGTGGGACTCAAAGGCTAGGGACAGGTGCATCAACAGTGTGGGTCTCTCTGGTCTTCACTTCACCTCAGTTATTTTGACAACAGGGCTGTAAGTCACTTTAGAGGCCCCAAAGAAGGTTTCATCCTGGGAGATCCTGGCTTTTCTTTTTGCTTTTCTCCTCCATTTGCTGAGTTCTCCAAAGGCTAAAAAAAAAAAAAAATAGAGCAAAAACCAAGCCAGGTGCAGAGGAGAATAAAGGGCGGTATAATTAGACAACAAAATTGTATGTCTTGTGGTACAAATTTTTAAAGGGGTGCTTGTTAAGATCTGCCCCCCCTTCCCTTTCACTGAGGAACTGAAGGTGCACTTCATTTGTACTGTTCCTTTCCATGGCAAATAAACCTAATATTCAGCCATGACCTTTGTGAAAAGTAAACTTAGCTTCATAGGAAAAAGATTCCTTTCTTTTTTAAAAAATCAGACTTGAAATTTTTATATCCTTTGAGTCATATTCTCGAAGCAACTAGCTGATTAATTCAAATAATGTGACTTTCCCAATTCAAACATGACATTTTGAAAATCATCCATGAATTACATACCTGAAGAATAAAAACTTTTTCTGTGCCATTTAGGTCTTTTTTTTCCTTTTCATTTTGAGGGCAATCGTGAATATGTGTAAGGGCACATTTATTATTCCCAGAACAGATAGAAAATTAGCAAAGTAATAAAATTCTTACCCAGCTTTGCTATTGCAGCTGTGTCTCAACCTAGTCTCCTGCCAATTTCCCTGCCACTAAAATGGTTAAGGATGATGTTATTTTTGCCATTGCAGGCAAGGTACTGGTCTTTGTATATTGGCTTTCCAAATCTCTACATGGAGATCTAAGAAAAAAATATCTGTATCTAAGCCTTGTTCTTCTGGTGGGGTTCATAAAGAGTTGCTAATCCCATAACTTTATTCCTGAGAATTCCTATCTTCTGATCCTGGAAACTGTCCCTCTTCTAATCTCATATGGTAAACCAGTTTTAAACCTCAGAAAAGCAACTGGCTGTAAGCTTTCTGCCTTAATTTACATTACTGAACTCAGGATCTGTACACATGGATGTATGTTTCTGTGTATACCCACCCAGTAATTACTGAGGCAAGCCTTTAATGAGTCTGAAATAGTGCCGGCATAATGGTGATGACCCACACATTTTTCTGCTGGAAATTGTAAGTGGATCACAAAGAGGAAACCCCATCCCCTCTCCCCACACATATTTCCTGTGAAGGTTTTTCATGACTCTGTATGTTGGGCCAGGGTCACTGCTCCTGGGGGTGCTGATTAGGCTGCTCAGTGGATTACAGCAGTGTTAGTCAAAGAGTGGTCCAAGGAACACTAGTGGAATGGGTCTGTAGTCAGCAAGGGCATGGATTCAATATTAAGAAAAGGTGTTTAGAAAATTTTAGAGGTATTTGGCAGATTCATTTTTCCACCTGTTGAATCTAATCATGAAAACTGGGGGTTTATTATTTTGTTTTGTAAAATCTCAATACTATTGAAATATAGTAGGGCTCCTATCTGGGGCCAGATGAGATTGAATTGTCTTTTCTGGCAGAACTATCACCACCAGCAAAACCTCCTCTCCACAAGAGCATGATGACAGTAATAAGAAACTTATATTTAAAAAGCACTTAGAAAGCTTTAAAACATGAAGTGAAGTCTTGGTTTGGGACCCTCTCGAAGCAGATCCATAAAGAAGCATATGAACAAGTAGCTCATTTGGGAAATGATTCCAGCAAGGAACAGTAGGAAAGTGGGGAAGAAACAGGGACGGAAAGGAAGCCAATAAATGGTGTGTTACCAAGCAGGTTACCACCTGGACAACTGGGAGCTACACGAATTGTATAAAATATTCTTGAGAATTGCCCACTTGAGGGGTGAAGGAGCTGGGGTGCTCATCCACCGAGTTCCCGTCAGTTGACTGTTAAGTGCTGCTGGGACTGTTCACTCACTGCCCTTATGCAAGCTGAGTGGGCCCCACTGGCTAGAAAAAGCTATAGGCAAAGATTTTCAGGAAATTCTCACTGAGAGCTGGGCTAGTATATACAGACATGGCAAATGCCGCAGGGATGTATGGGATATCAAAAGCATCTGCCAATGAGTAGAGAGGACAGGTGGTCTTATCCAATTATAGATAGTAAACTGAGGTCCAGTTCAGCACTGTAATACAATATAGAAGATGGTGATGGGATGAGTGTAGGGAAAATGGTCAGGATCCTCACCTGCTCCTAATCTACTCACCCATGGTGTATGTGCAATAATGTAATACTTAGCTTACTGTGCAGGCACATGCTTGCATAAAAAGAGCTCTGCCGGTGCTAAGAGCAGAGGAAAGTGGAGGCTGGAGGCAAGAGCAGAGCCTGGAGCAGAGACAGAGACCAGAAGGGAGGCAATGCCTGAGGCAGAGGCTGGAGCAGAGGAAGAGATGGAGACAGGATTCTAACACTTGACCTGCCACCGTGAGAATAAAGCTTGGTATAAGCCCCTTTTTACCCACAGCATTCCATTATCATTTTCAGTCTCACCAGTCAGAGTGAACTTATCCAGGGCTGAAACCCTCTTCTGCCCAGAGCTACAATGAGAAATATCTTTTTGGTCACCTACTTTGGGGCCACCCAAAGCCCCTTCCTGCCTTGTGTAATCAGGTAGTTGCGGGTCTACCTGTGTGGCAGAGACTGCTGGGTGCTCACACAACCCATCTCTGCTTCCTGGGCCCCAACTAGACTCCATTTCCCAGTCTCCCTTGAAAAAGTGTGTGGCTTATTACAGAGATGTAGAGACTGAATGGAAGTGATGTACAATACTTCCCTGCCTGACTTATGCAAACCTTCATGCAAATTCTCTCAGCAATTTACTATTCCAGAAGACTGGAATAGAGATGACCCCTGGGGCAACCTAGAGAGTCACACCTGGAAGACGGTTTAGCCACAATATGGAAGGATCCTGGGTCCCTGGGTCATCACTTAGAAGAGAGCCACTTGACAAGAAACATACTCATTAGATTTTTATTGTGTTAAGCCACTGTGGTCTTGAGGATTGTCTATTATAGTAACTAGCATTACCTTAAAGAATACAACAAATATGTGTGAGCCAATAATTTATTTTTAATATCACTTACCATTATCTCACATTATATACTTATTTATTTATCAGTTATGTATCCTCCAAAAGGAACACTTGGTTTTGTACACTGCTGTATCTCTGGCATCTGGAACAATGCCTGGCAACTCGTAGATGTTAAATAAATATTTGTTGAATCACTAAATAAAAATGCCCAATTCTCATGGCTCATGGCATACAACAGTCCCTCTACTCAGACTTTATGTCTCTTAGTTCATTCTCACAACTACTGTATGAGGAAAATGAAGCACTTAGAGGCTGATTAACTTATCTGGTGATGCCCAGCAGGCAAGTGAGGGCACCAGGACTAGAATCTAGGTGGTCTGACTCAACCCTCAGATTCTTATGCTCTCTGCACATTGTCTGATGTCTGCCAGGTGCAAAGCTAGGAGCTGAGGGTGTAGGAAAGCATGAGACACAGCACCTGCCCCTGAGGTCAATGCAACAGGCAACAGAATGGGATGTGTGTGCAGTAGGGATAACAGACCAGGCTGTTCTCATCCGTGGAGCAGGCTATCTTCTAGAAATGTTGACCTCTGTTACTTACCCAACCTGACCAAGAGCTCAGCTACAGGATTAAAAACCCTCTAACAGAATGAAAGAACTGAGCAGATTATGTAGAAATTAAGCCAGATCCTGTTTCCAGTCTAAGATACCATAAAAACTGGAGCAGAAACACTTACTGGGCAGGTTTGAACAATCTGAGCAAAGGCAGGTAAGTTGGAGTAAAAAAAAAACACCAATCCTGCCTGTAAGTGTTGGGAAAAGTCAGGAAGAGAGTAGAGCAATGGGTTAAGGTGAAGAATGTGGGCTTGGTGATCAGACATAATTGGCTTCAACCAGCTCTGCTATATACAGAGCTTTACAACCTTGGACAAGCTTGCTAACCTTGGGCTTCTCCATTCTCATTTATAAAATGGATGTAGTATGCCTGCCTCCCACGGTAAAATGATTAGCACAGAGGCACAAAGTGTGTGTTCCAGAAAAAGTGGCTAGTATAGTACCTACTCTTTGATCTCTGGTCTTAGAATAGAGAACTGTACCCTTCGGCCACTGAGCTGCAGGGCAGAAACACTTGGGACGCTGTAATCATGGCGGAAGTTGTACTGACTTGGGGCTGAAGAGAGTTCTGCATGTCCTTGGCCTCTCTCTCACCCTTCCCTGTGCAGCCACTAGAGGGCTTTGGGCATCTCTGTTCCCCACAATTGGATTGCTCACATGCAGCACCCAGGAGGCCCAGTGGATTTCTAAAAAAAAAGAGCTCTTTTTCCAGGAGTAGAAAAAAGAGCAAAGCATTCACTGAGGCATTGGTAGAGCAGCTGCTGAGGGGTCATACATGCAGAGGGGTGCTGCAGGTGAGGGGGTGCCGAGAACCTACTCTGTTGCCAGCAGTTAGCCCGCCCCTGAGCACATGATCCACTTTCTTGGAGGGAATTACCTGGGGTTACCTGGGGCTGGTTTGGGGCCCTATGTTGAATGAAATAAGGTCTTCTTATTAGATAACTTGAGCAGAGGGCTGGATTTCTGAGGATCACTCATTGGGAGTTTTGAGAAACTGAAAACTAGCTCATCCTGATAGAGGCAGATTATAGTTGAGCAAATTTCCAGAGGTGTGGCACTACTGATGATGTTCAGGAGAGTGGGGGTGTTCTCAGTGGGCAAAGGGGCCAGGTTCCCTTCCCTGCTCCCAACTCACCCCATCTTCCTACTCTCAGTTCATTAGGTCAGCAAAGTCTGATAGGAAAAGGCAAATAACCCATTGAAAGCATCCCTCATAGCAGTCATCCTCACTGTAGCAGGAAAGAACTGCTCCCTTTAATCTTTTATGCTAAATACTTAACAAAAATACTTTAGATAATATGGCTCCATTACTTGCCACTGTTGTGTCTCAATACTCTTACAACTCAGTCTTCAGAGAACAGCAGGCTCTTGCCTAGTTCCTTGCCTCTGTCCATACTGTTTTCTTAATCCACAGGCATCCATTCCTCCCTCCCAGTAGGCACTTCCCTGATTCCTGCCTCTGTTTTCCCACAGTACTTTGCACTTACCCTTAATAGCACATTTATCAGAGGATGTTATTGCTGTACATTTTTGTCTTTCCCCATCACTCGAGCGTCTTATGAGCTTCATTTCCAGTTTCTGCTTGAATACCTATTCTGACACTGTCTCAAAGGCAATACATTCCATTTCAATTAACTTTTTGCAAAAATAGTTTTCCTATTATTAGAAACCAAATCTGCTTCCCTGAAATATAGACCTATTGAATCTCTACCTACCAGTTGAATTGTCTAAAATTTCTCCTGATGTGAATAAGGCTTCTTATTCTATAATTAGAAATAAATCTTAAATATAAATACCCTGAGAGGGGTCAATATGTGCATAATTCATTCTAAAGTGTAAATGACAGATAAGATCTTTTCTGTAATAAGACGATTGTATCAGGAGAACCTAAGTGTGGGGTCAGGAATACCACAGACACCAGGAATGTAATGACACTAGAATTTTGATATAGTAGAAAGAGCCCTGGGCTAGGAAATGAAGGTTGGGTCCAATATGATTTATGTTTTTTGAGCTTTGGTTTTCTCATTTGGAAAAAGAATAATTTGCATGACAAGTAGTTCTGTTTATTACTGTAATTGCAGAATTTTGTCCAGAAGCAGCCCCACTCACCTGGGCTGGCTTAAGCACTTGCTCTGGGCAGCTTGAGCACTTAGCTCTTTCTTAGCTCTTGGTGGGAAAAAAGTTGTATGTGTCAATGAGCTTCAGCCTCCTGGGCACTGGGTTGACATTCTTGGTGCTAAAGATGCTATGACTTATTCCAAGCACCATCACATCAAACAATGAACCTTTTATTCCCACCTGGTTTGCACCTTCCTTTCCCCTGCTTGGAAACCTTATGTCACCAGGGCTATTTATAGTATTTATGATAAATATTTGCAGGTAACACACTTACTGCAGCTAACACATTTTATTATGATTTTATTATATATTCTCTTTTCCTGGAGTTTTACAAGTAAAATTGCATAAGAACCAACTTTTATATTTGTCCTAAGTTCCACACTACAGAACCAGGTCACATTACAATTGCTTGATGCATGACACTCAATGTCTCAATAAATACTTTACAAAAATAATGTAGTATTTTTCCTTTCTTAAAACATAAAAAAATTAGAATTTCTTAGACTTGAGTCCCCCTCTTCTTTTTATATTTATTTGCTGGGAATACACTGGTGGAGTAAAAAATTGTTAAAATGGTATTATGATAAAATGGATGAAATGAGGTCCATGTTCTTTTACCATTTATTATGCTTTTTTTTTCTTTGGAAAAGTGCTACTACCTTTTCTTATGTCTAACCTTCCTGCAGCCTTCTGAGCCTACTAAGACGTGAGCAGAAATTCTGCCATTCCAAAGCCTTTTAGTAGAATCATAGCATTATGCTACTATTGGCCTTTTATTTTAAAGCTATTTCAAGCCAGGCTTCAGATTTGCCCCTAAAGTACCCATTTGTCCCCCACCCTATACCTAGTCTTAGGCAAGAGAATTTTGGAAGCTGAGACTTCAGCAAGGTGCCCCATTACTAAATGATTTTTGGTTTAACATGGGTGTTTTCTCGTTTTGATGGACTTCCATTGAGCTACTTACGCTTGAAGAAATCATTACAAAATCCCCATTCTCTTCCACCTCCCTAAGCCCCTGTCTGAACTCTCCCAGAAGTGATTAGTTTCACAACTCCAGAGAAAAGGTTACACTTAAGTCACATTCATGTTAAATAAGTTACATATAAAACCTGCTCATAATGTTACACCTTCATCTTTTTCCTGCTCTGCTTCTCCAGGAAACCGTCTGGGCGTGAGCCGAGTTGCACCCATTGTGGTTTCCAGATTCTTCTGGCTCCTTTGTCCTTGTCCTCCTGCCACTGGAGCCCTAGGAGGAGTCCCCAGGAGGTCTGTGGGCTTGCAGGTGGCAAGGGCGGCTTCCGATGGCAGTCCCCCGGGCCTGGCGCACACCCTGGTGTGATTTATGAAAAATACTCGTGGTGTACACAGACACACACGGATGCGGGTAAGACGGGCTCGAGCGCTCACGCGGCAATCAGTGCAGTGCATCTGAGTCACGAGTACCAGCGGGGGCGTCTCTTTAATACTCCCTGGCCTCTTGGAACTGCTTAATGTAATCTTCGTCCGACGGGCTCTCAGTGCACTTCTGTGCGTTGTTGGGGGGCCGGGCCTCGTTGTACCTGCTCCAATCGCCCTTGCAGATAATCCAGGGCAGGACGTCCACCTTGTAGTGGAGCTCTGCTGAGAACTCGGTGCTGATGAGGTTGGGCGTCCCCGCCCCTTTGCCCCTGGTGATAAGCTGCATGTTGTCGCCATAGCAACAGTGCTGGGCAGCCAGTGTGGTGCTCTCCAGGGACAGCATGGAGCGAATGCAGTACCGGGCAGTGGGCTTGTAGATCTCCAGCTTCTCCTTGGGCCCGCTGGCATCCTTCCAGCGGAAGTCCTTGCGCTTGATACGGTCGAAGATATCGGCGGTGCTGTAGGCCACTTCGGTGGGGTAGGAGCAGGGGCAGCTGGGCAGGTCGTTGATCACCTTGTGCATGTACTTCTTTAGGAACTCGCTTTTGCAGCTCATCCATCGCTCACAGCTGTCCGTGTCTGAAAAAGGCCACCAGGAAACCCTCTCACCAAGTGTAAATCAGGCAGCAGGATGGCACTGAGGTCAACACCTCCCCTCCCATGGTGGGGCCCTGCAGCCCCTGGAGCGCTGTGGTCACCTGCCCATGGGCTCGGAAACTATTCACAAGGCAAGCCCCTCCCCACTTTACGCTACAAAAAACTTACAGACACACAGAAAAGTAGAATATGCTTATACAATGGCCAATTGTGTGCCACCACCTAAATTAAACCATCACTATATTTGCTTCATATTTTTATTTTTGGAAACATATGTTTTACCCCTAAGTTTTATTAGGCATCTATTTATTGAAAAAAGGAGGATATGGGGACGTGGGGATAACCATAACCCCATTATCCATAGCAAAATTAATAATTCAGAGAGCCGTTTGGAATCACCTCTTTAAATGAGTGGTGACGGGGTAGAAAATGCCTTAAAGGAATAACTGTAAACTAGGTTTTATTTCTGTCACTCACTGAGTGGCTTAAACCAGGACTAGTGGCCTAACTCTTACCTTAGGCACCAAACCATAGTGATCATTGCATATACATCCACATGATAAGATGCCTCAGAAACAAGGGCCTACTGGCCCTGCTTTCCTGGAACCTAGCATTTAGGGAGAGGCCACTCCCCATAGACTAGAACCCACCCCCACAGGTGTTGTGTTTGGTCCTTACATATTAATTGCCAACATTTAAGAATTTGGTGGTTCTACTTATTAATGTGGATTCCTGGTTTCATTTGAAAAACCAAAAGATATGTTTATGCTGGTCCTGCATTGCTGCATGGGAACAAGTGGACAAACAGTGGCCACTTTTGCAAACCCATGTGGAGCAGAAAAAGTCTGATGGGTTATCTGGGGTGGGGAACACTCCAGGTCCTCTGGAGCCCAGGTGCCAGGCCTTGGTGGACCTGGGAGCAAAGGAAGGAAACATCGGAAGTGGCTCTCCAGCTCTGATTTAGGAGCCTGGGAGGTTGGAGGTGTCATGAGTAGAAATCAAGCAGGGCTGATCTCCAGGATGGGGCTGGTGGGTGAGGGAGCTCAGTTTTCTCTTCAGTGAAATGGGGAAGACAGAGATAGGTCATCTCACAGGAGCTCAGAAAGGCCTGGCCTAAGGTGAAACATGTGGGATCTTGTGCTGGGACCGAATCCCACCTCCACTGTGGGAGATTCTACCTCATAGTGCTTTAGTTTCCCATCTCTAAACTGGGGAAGAAAACTATGTGTTTCATAAAGTACAATAAGGATTAAACTGAAGGAAATGTGGGAAGCACATGGCACAGGGTCCAAGGTGCTGCCAGGGGGAATGTGCTGAGGCTCAATTGGCTCAGTTCTCCGATTCCATCTCTGAAAGTCCCTGATTGAGTGGTGGCTGAGAGAATGGAGGCTCCATCCTGGGAAGCCTGTGTCTGCAAAGCCAGTGGGGGTCTCCCTCAGAGGGCAGGGTCTTCAGAAACAAAATTCAGTGAGGCCCCCAAAAATGGCTTTGTTCTTTTCCCTCCATAGTGGATGGTCATCATAACTCATGTCCCTATAGGACACACACTGACTTAGTTTTAACTGTCAGACTTATACAGATGTTCAGTGTGATGGACATGTTTTAAATGCTTGAAAACACTTAACTCATTTAAGTCTACAATAACTCTATAAAGTAGGCACTATTACTTCATCTCAGTTTATAGATAAGAAAACTGAGGCAGTACTAGATTAAGAAACTCAACTTTGGGCAAGTCAAGCTGTCCCCATCTCTGCTGGGCATCTTCTGTTTGTCCTTCTAGATCCTAATTCCATGTTTTGCCCTGGAAGTTTGTCTTATGTGGACTGTATGGATGCGCTCCTTGAGCCTTGACTTCTAGTTGGGTTGAATCAAGAGGAGGACCTGGTCTGAGACCATGCAGAGGGAGCAGAGGGAGCTCAGAATATTTGTTCCTTCAGCTTCTCTCTCACTGTTGTGGCTTGGCTACCTCCATCTGAGGGCCAGGAGTGCTGTCAGGTAGCCCTCTCCACACAGCTACTCTGTGGGTTCTGGAAACCACACTTTCCCTTGGTCATCTGAGGCCAGGAAGTGGTGAGGGCTCCCCACTGTTGCCAGCCTCAGGGTTCTGTACAATCCCTTCTTGGTTTCCATCCACCTTGCTCATACCTTTGCAAACAGACCCTCACCCTCATTAGGTGCTCCTCAATTAACCAGTTTCAGTGTGCCATGTTCCTGCCCAGACCCAGATTGATACACCACTCCTATTCATCCATGTGTGTACTTAGCTGCACATATGGTACAAATGCACAAGAGAAAAGGTGCACCTGGACTCATGCCCTGCAGAAGGGCAAGCAGCTGCCTGCCTGTGGGCTGTGTTACAGGGAGGCCTGAGACACTCTCTGCCCCAAAAAACCACTTTTGCTGCTGTACCACTTTATGTAAATTTCCCACATTTAGTCTTTAAAAATTTTTTATTTGATCAAATGCATTGTGTTTGCAGAAGGCTTTTGCTAAAGGCAGTTTGATTGCGTGTGTGATGGACTGAGGTGGAAGCCGTGGGCAGTACAGAATTTCCAAACTGCCTCCAACTTGCCTGAGGACTCAGGGCAGAAGTGAAGAGGCTAAGGAAGAATTCTGGAGTGGCAGAAAGAAATGTGGCAGAATGAGTCTTACCTTTCTGCATACTGAGTTATGTCCAGAAGCTCCTGAAGATATTTTTAAAAAGCAAGCTTTCACCTTGCCCCCTAGGTAGCCACTTTCAATTTTGCTTGATCCATGTTTATTGCATTTGCTCTAGAACTTTCTAGCAGATAAGTAGAAAAGTGTACAAAGGTTTACAAAAAATTCATGTGGTGGAGGGGAGCAGGCATAATATTGAGAGAGTTCCTTTTTCTCCCTCCTTCCCTTTGCTGCAGAACTGAAATCACCATTTCCTGACTTCCTTGCGGACACTCAGTAAGATCTGTGAGAAGAGATTCCATGTGGCTTGAGGCCCTCCTGTGAGCTGAGTCGTGCTAAGGGAAGAGTGGCTGGACACAGAGGGCTGCTCAGCTCAGTCTGGTGCCAGGGGCCCAGGACTGCTCTCTCTTGCTTGGAGTATATTCAGCGAACAAGAAATATGCTAGGAGAATTAGGAGCCATAAGGGGAGAACGAAACATTTAAATGGACTCAAGGATGGCACTGCAGAGGCAAAAGCAATCTCCAAAACACTGAATCAATATTTGGATAAAAAAGAAAAAAAATCTTCTTACCGACTTCAAACAGTTTGGTGGCATTAAACTCCTCGCTTCCCGCAAGCAGACTCACTTCAGTGGCAGCTGTCCTAAAGGTGTCTTCAATTCCTAAACACAGACAGGAGCTCATTTTTCCCCAGTTATGTGGAAAAAGTTACCCCCCTCCCCTGGCAAATAAAAAAACAAATACACCTGAACAAAGCCTTTCTGTATTCATTACAACTCATGGATAGAAACTCGCCAACAGAGGAAACAGTAAAAAGCAGGTAGTAGAACATAAAATATATTAAAACCCCAGATACCATTTGCAACATGAAATCAGATCCAAATGTGCCTGAATGAGTCCTAAGGAACTCATTCACCAGGCCAGAATGGGGTTTTGGGCAGTGGGGGCCACATAGCATGGCTGTTTGTCGGGGGGGTGTCAGGGCACCAAACTAAACCAGAGGCAGTGGGTAATATCTTGTTTAGTGGTCATTCCCCACCTTAAGGACTGACTGACTGGGTTCAGATCATTGCTAGCCATGTGACCTTGGGCAAGCCACCTAACCTTGATGTGCCTCAGTTTTCACATCTGTAAAGTGGGGAGAAATAAATGACCCATCTCATAGAGCTGAATGAATAAAATAAGTGATGTGTAAAGAAAGTACTTAGAATATAGATGGTGAGGGTGAGCTGATCTTTTTCCCTTGAGTCTCTGCCTAGGTCATTTTGAGGATGTAGCAGTCTATAGCAAAAGACCAGATATCTCAAATTGTAGGACTTTTACAATGGCTGAGGAGGCATTAAAAAGAATAAGCTGGGCTTGTCATTACTTGCTTCGAGGACTGACCCCACCTTGCTCCCTGGCTCACGTCCCTTCCCCACACTACCACCCCACCCAGGCTTCCGTTATAAACAGGAATCTTGTGTTTGCTGAGGCAACCCAGAGGCAGGAGTGGTAGAACATAAGCTGGTTGTTGGAGAGCCTTGGCTGCCTGCTAGGCATGACTTGAGTTCCTTTAGGGGCTCTCCCTGATTTTATGTGGGGTCCCTCAAACTTATTTTCAGGGTTGACCTAGGGGGCACACTTTTACAATGTGAACACTACCATCCAGGGAGACTGCCTGTCCATGATTCTTTACAGCAAGACTGCAAATCAACAAAGCAAATGAAGAAAGAGATATTGTAAAAATAAAATTCTTCATGTTCCAAGGGAGCCCTGAAAAGCTGGAAAAGCCAGGAGCAGAGGGGCAGAAAGGATGGGAGGAAGGCAAGGTCAGATGAGAAGAAAAAGTCTGAGCAGGGCTGCTGGCCACACTGCTCCGAGTGTGAGAGGAGACAAGAAGGCGGCATTCAAAATAGTGGCAGCGAAGAACCTTTTCCTGACAAGATATTCTAAGTCTACCACCTCACCAGGTGGATCTGGATGCCAGCCCTGGAAGAAAAACAACAGGCAAGCCCCTGAGCCCTGACATTAAATGCCGTCTGTGTCCCCCTGTGGCTGAGCCCAACACCTTTCCTCCTGGAAGAGATGGGAGAATTTAACAGTTAAGGACACGGACTCTGGAATCGGACTGGATTCAGACTCCAGACTGATCATTTCTTGCCTGTGTGACTCTAGCCAGTCAACCCCTGTCCCCGTTTCTATAGCTGTCAAATGGGTACAGTAATAAATACCTATTTCATGAGGCCATTGTGAGGATTAAATGGAATAACACTTGCAAAGACCTCAAAAATTTTCTTGACACTTAAGTACACAAAATACCCTATTCCTCATGATCTTCTTCGTTGTTGTATTTTTTTTCCTTTGTCATTTTCTTCATCTTCTTTATCTTGATTTTCTTTTATTTCATCTTCATCATGATCATCTTCTTCAAACTCTCCATCTCTTCCTTCTTCATTTTATTCCTGTCCTCCTCCTATTATTATTATTATTACTTATTGGTTTATTTCCACCCATGCAAATCCCATCCCACCAGACTTCCAAAGCACCTTCATTGTGATGAGCCTGGGAAAGATCAGGAAAAGCACCTTGATGGGCAGTCTACTTTTTGCAATCCAGCTGCCTGGCTGACATGGGGCTCGAATGGCCATTTCTCACATTTCAGCCCTATTACTCCACCTGCTCCTTTGTTAACATGCATGTGTCCAATCTGACCCTTCCTCTCTTTCCTCAGACACCCCTTTGCTCTTCCGCTTTTTTTGTCCCTAATATCAGCCTTATAGTTTGAGGACAGAGTTTCTCGGTTCAGAAAAAGGAAGCCTGGGTATGTAGAGATCAAGTTTTCTTTGTCTGAAATTTCTCTCAGATGAAGCCACTGGAATGCAAGGTTTCTTAGAAGAGCCCGAGGTATTATTTTAGGCTGGTCTTCTACCTGGCATGGTGAACACATAGTAAGTGTAAAACTATAGATCAGGAGTAGGCAATTTTGTTATAAAGGGTCAGAGAGTACATATTTTATGCTTTGTGGGTCACACATAGTATGGTCACATAGTCCTTCTCTTCTCCCCTTCCCCATCTCCCATCCCTTCCCCTTTCTCTCCTCCCCCTTCTTCTTACAACCTTTTAACAATCTGTGGCCCATATAAAAACAGGTTGCAGCTGGAGAACCACTGCTACAGACAGTCACAATTATTTTTCACCCCCAATATGGCCCCTCACCCAGTTTGCAATTTGTTTAGCTATGAAAACTTTGACAATGCAGTTGAAAGTGACCATTATTAACCACCAAGTGGCCTCAGTTTGCTTCCTTGAGAGCCTCTGCAGCTCTTAGGCATCACTGACAGGGTTAACTGCGTGGTTTCCCTGTAGATGCTGTCAAGCCTCTTCTGGCTTCCTTATCAGACCATGAATGTCTGTCTGCATGTGTCTCTTCAAGGCACAACAAATCCGACATCAAAGGGCCAAGTCAACCAGAGTCCCTCCTTTAAATGAAGCAAGCATACTGTGGCATTGTCCTCTGGGTCACGGCAACTGAAACTGTGCGTAAGGTTCAGAACATCCGTCTTTTCATCTGTTAAGCTCATCACTCATCTCTGGTTGCCTCAGTCTGGTCAGAAGGCTTACAGGGAAATGGTTGTCTTTTAAAAAGTCAATGTTTGTAAGTTTTCAAATATTAAAAATTTTCCCTTGAACGTGGAGCCACACCCTGCATAAACCCACCTGGGCAGTTTGGACGGTCACACGTCCTAGATTCGGTCGCGGTACATGCATAGCCACAAGACCTGGTCCGTTTCTGGTTGCCGTTCCCACAGGTGACACTGCAGACAGACCAGAGACTCCAGTCACCCTCGCCATCCGTGGAATCTGGAAGGGAGCCAGGGAGACAGTCACCAGCCTCACCCACAGCGTCACCAAGTCCTCCTCGTTGAGCAGCCTGCCAGTTGTCCAGTTCCATCATTCTCACTGTTGGTGGGGACCAGGGGATGGAAGGAATGCCTGAAGAAGTCAAAAAACTTATGGCTCCAGGTTCATTTTAGGGATTACTTTTGTGAGGGCAGGGGCTCTGTCTGAGGTTCTGGGCACTCTGGTGGTCAGCACATGGCCAGGTCCTGACCCTTAGAGATGCACAGGAAGTGTTTATTCAGAATGTATGCATTTGCAGAGTATAGGATCATAGAATCATGTGGCAAGTAATTTGCAAAGATGACTACCATGAGTTCCTTCCCTCCCTGTGCATCTGTTCACTAAGAGAGAGAAACATAGAGTCATTCTATTTCCCCTTCCCTAGAATCTGAGGACTTTGGCCTTAAGAGGACCGGCAGCTTCCAACTTTTGTTCTGGGCAACCCAGTCACTGTGAAAGAAGCTGAAGCTACACCTTTGAATTACGGGTCACCACATGGAAAGAGAGAAGACACACGAAGGGCCATCAAGACACTACACATGAGGGTGAAGCCTTCTTGAGCCTCTTAGCTCTTCCCAGGGACAGCTGAATACAGCTGATGCCCTCAGGGGCAGAGGAACTGCCCAGTGGAGCCCTGCTTGAACTCCTAAGCCAAGGATCATGAGAAATAATAAATTTCTATTATTTTAAGCCATTAAGTTTTGAGATGTTTTGTTATGCAGCAGTAGATAACTGATACATAACAGCACTGCTAAAAATGGTCCTTGAGGTCATTATTCAATATCCACCCAATGAATATTTATTGAGATTTTATTATTTGCCAGGCACAATTCTAGGCATGTGGGATAGATTATTAAATAAAACTTTCCAAGATTACTGGTCTGGTGGAACTAATATTTTGGTGCGAAGAGTTAGACAATAATCAATAAACAAAAATATCAGTAAATTACACAGTACATTAGAAGTCAGTAAGTGATATGGAAAAAAGAGAAGTAGAGCAGGCTGGGGCGGGGGAGCCTGCAATGTGAGAGATATGAGAGAGGTTGGTATATAAGCAGACAAGCATATCTTGTTTTGTCAGGTCTGTTTTACCGTGCTTCACAGATATAGTGCCTTTTTTTTTTTTTAACAAATTGAAGGCTTGTGGCAGCCCTAAGTTGAGCAAGTCTATTGGCGTTATTTTTCCAACAGTTTTTGCTCACTTTGTGTTTCTGTGTCATGTTTTGGTAAGCCTTGCAATATTTCAAACTTTTTCATTATTATTATATTTGTTATGGTGATCTATGATTACAACTTGCTAAAAGCTCAGATGACAGCTTTTTTAGCAATATTTTTTAATTAAGATATGCACATCACTTTTTTAGACATAATGCTATTGCACACTTAGTGGACTACAGTATAGTATAAACACACTTGAATATGCACTGAGAAACCAAAAAAAATCATGTGACTCACTTTATTGTGATATTCGCTTTATTATGGTGGTTTGGAACCAAACCCACTTAATCTCTGAGGTGTGTCTGTATTATCAAGACTAACTTCCTCTTTTCAAAAGTGAAGAAACTAAGTCTGAGAGTAATGGGGTGACTTATCTAAGGTCATAATAACAGAAAGGAAAGGTTGGGGTCTAGTGCTAAGCCCTTGATCTCTAAAACATGGCCCTTTCTGCAGCATCTCTGTTCTACAACAACTTCTCCTGGTTTATCCAAATTGTCCTACAGCCTTGAGGCCTCTGTCTGTGCCAAGCTTGGAGCAACAGGCAGGTTGTGCTGATTGTTATTCTGTAGGCCTGGCAAGAATGTAGTCCACACATGTTTCTACCTGAAGTGTGGGCTCTGTGCCAGCCTCCCAGGCTGTTGTTTACATGGCATTTGCTCTGAACACTCCTCAGACAAATACAGGGCTGCTGTCTCCCTGGCCCATTTAGCAGAGTCAGGGCAGGGGGTGGGATTCATGATTGTGTCTCTTCCCTAACCCAGAGTGAAGAGTTTGCTCACATCTTGCCTGCCCCCAGGGGCCTCAACCATTTCTTCTCCTTTCCAGAAAGGAATTTTTTTGAAGTTTGATTTTCTTCTAAGAATGGTTTTCTAACCACATGGCCAAGCAGATATTTGAAACTACTGCTCATGTGAGGAGCTGGGCTTGCTTTCCCACTGTCAGCCATCCTCATGTCTCTCATCTCTTACTAGGCATCAACACAGTAGAATTTGGGAGACAAGTTGCTTCCAAAGGGAGAAACCACTGAGGTAGGGGCAGTTGTTGCTCCCTCTGATACCTTTGCCATCTGGTATCTCTTGGTACTTTCCCAAGAACACCAAGATGCGCCTGGAACAATCATGCTACCTCACTCTTGTCAACAGGAGCATCCAGGCACAGCGGGTTATACACACAGGTGAACACACTCAACAGCATCCTATACATACGACCAAGGTCAGATTTGTTAAAAGGAAGAACAACAACAACAAAAAGTCACAAATTAAGGTCGCCACTTCTGTTGACTCATAAAAAGTGTGCAGTGAGTCAGTCAGAGAAAGCTCATTAAATCACTGTAGGGACAATGGAGTTCTCATGGCCAGGATCCTCACCTGACCTTAATCTGCTTGTCCACTGCACATGGGCATTGATGTAATAACTGGCCCACTGCGTAGGTGCAGGCTTACACACCTGTTGGCAATGAGCCTTCATTGTATATAAAGAGCTCCACCCAGTGCTCTGCAGGGATTGTGGGCTGTGACGGTGGAGGCCATAGTCATGATTCTAGCACTCGACCTGCCACTGTGAGAATAAAGCTTGGTGTAAGACCATTTACCAACAACATTCCATTGTCATTATTCAGTCTCACCAAATCCAGAATGAACTTGCATGGAGCTGAAACCCTCCAGGGTGACAATCACATAGGTAAGAGTTCATGTCACCTGTGTGGGGGGTGCATGATCCAATGATATCAAGTGGTGTGCTTCTTGGCTCAGCAGAAGCAACAGGGCTTCAACCATCTAGATATTTCTTGCAACTTCTCCTCCCTGTTGCAGTAACATAGAGAGCTAATTTTCGAAAATATCATCCCTGAATCTTGAGGCTTCTAGCATTAAACCCATCATGAGGCTGTACTGGAATCTCTACATGAGGAAATTTCCTGTTTTGGTTTCTTGAATCTAAATTATTGAACATTAATACTGTGTTGGGTTATGTGAACAATGACTTTCATAATTCCTCCCTTCATGTGGACCCCTTTAGTTATTCTCCTCCCATGCTGACCCAGCCTGGACTATGTGATTTGCTTTGGCCAATGGAAAAAGCAGCAGACATGATGCACACAGGCTGGAACAGAGCTTGTGCACCAGGGTTGGCCTCCTGCTATAGGGAGCTCTTCCACACCACGCACAGAGCCCAGGATAGCATACTGGAGGGTGAGGGACGAGGTGGAGAGAGGCCCAGCTGGGACCTCATCACTGTGAGTGAAGCCATCCCAGACCACCCAGCCCCAGCCAAGCTAAGCCAAGAGCAGAGCAGTCCAAGCAACCTGTAGGTTCTTGGGAGAGAACATTGTTTTTTAAGCCTTTACATTTGGGGTGGTTTCTTAAACAGCACAAGTTAACTGTTACAAATACACCATATAGTTCTCCCTAAAATATACTCTCTAGCTGGCCAGCAGACTCTGGAACCATGAAGGATTTCTTATTTCAGTAAATGGCTTTCTCCATGTTTTTATTTTAAATGCTTGTAAAGCCATTTATTTTCCACTTTTTAAAAATATGGTCTCCCAAAGTCAGGCACAGAGCAGTTATATAGCCAGGTATTAATGATTTCTGTTGGGCCAGCAGTGAAATGAAACAACCTCAGAGGGAAAAGTGTCTATGTCAGCTCACCATCCTACAGCCTCCACGGCATAGTGCCCCAGACGAACATCCTAGCAAAGTCCCTTCTGTTTAATGTGTCTGAGGGACAGCAAGGGCATCTCTGAGTGTGGGACCCAGCCTTCAGGGCAGTGTTCCCCCCCACTATAATAAAAGAGGGTTGTTTTCCTTTGCCCACCTGTCAGGGGGCATTGCTTGGAGCAGGAGATGAATGTGAGCAGCAGTGACTGCAAAGAAGACAAGGACCGTGAACAACAGTCCCTGTGAGCAAACATGTGGTGCTCTGGCAGCCCCAATCTGGGAAAAACAAAGAGCTCCATGAAGGAAAAAGATGCTCCACAGCACACTGGGCTGGGAGCTGGGTTTCAAGGATGTCATTTGAAATTTTATGGTAGTCATTATGTATCTAGTGGCAGTGTTTGGGCAACTGAAGTGACTTGGCTCTTGGCCACTGGCAAGCCTCCACCACTCATCCTAGATGACAGTGGCTCTGCTTTAACCAGCTGTTCTGTCTAAACACACTGCTTTCACTCCTGTAATAATCCAGAAGGTAGGTGGAAACATCCTCCTTTTATGAGTAAGGAAATCAAGGCTCAGAGAGGTTAGGGCACTTGCCTAAGGTTATACATCTCAAGCCCAGCAGAGCTGGGGTTAAATCTGAGGCCTGTCTTCTCCTGCTGTGTCCTTCCTGTTCTACATCCTGGCATTCTAGCAGCTTTGATTGTGGCCCACATTGGTCCCCCTTCCTTTAGACACCCACTTAGGTGGCCTCACTCACCATTACAAAAAAAAAAACCTTGAAAAAAAGAATCACTGCGACATCTATTAAAATTGGACTGTGAGCAGTTAGAGAATTGCAAAGAACTGAGTCTCAACAAGCAGTGCCCATATGATTCCACTATGCAGGCTAACAGTTTTGTGGATGGTATACTACTATTCAACAGAAAAATATTTACTTGGACTCCTTTGTCCTGGATGATACCTTAAGTATCTACATAGAAGGTAATTAAAATACAGTATCTCCAACACAGTCCAAAGTTAAGCCAACTCATGGTCACATTATGTATTTCCACAAACACAAAATTAGGTCTAACTTCTGTTGTGCACTGTATAATTTAGTCTAAAGATGTCACTATATTTATTTCACCTAGGATTTTCTGAAATACTCTTTGGCCACAAACATTTAAATTCTTATTAAAAATCCTGCCTTCAAAAATCTGAGATCATCATTCTCCATGAAGACCAGTCCCTGTGGCAATGTTAGCCCATCTCAGACAAGACAGCATGCAGGTGGGTGCAGTTGCTCTGCTCTGCTGGTGCACAAACCTCACCTTCCTGGGTAACATGTTCTCTCCCGGTATCCTCCACGGCACTCAACATAGGGATAAATACTTAGAAATTGCTCAACTGTTTACTGTTGATTGAAATAAAAGAGGATTCAGCCTGTCTGATGCTGTGTGGAATTCTAGAAATCACATGTTCCCTGTGAGTCAGTTGGAGAAGCAGGGATCAATTCACTGTGCAAATGTACCAAGTATTTACAACACACTTAGGTTCTTGCTACTCAAAGTGTGGTCCGAGGGCCTGTGGGGTCAGCTGCATCTACTGCATGAGAAGCTATATTTCAACAAGCCCCCCAGGTTATTCGTGTGCATATTAAAGTCTGAGAAGCATGGCTTTAGAGTTATTAACAGGGGCAATATTCTCTTTCTAAAGTAGTACTCCTGGCATCTAGTCTAATGATGGAGAAGTTACTAAGAAATACTACAAAATCTTACAAGATGTTGTAAAGTTACTAACAAATACTACAAAATCTTAACATGTTGTAAAGGTCCAGATGTGAGGCACTTCCTTGGTATTCCAGGCCTAAAAATCTGGGGTGCAGGTGACTGAAACAGACACAGTACTTTCCCTAGTAGCAGCAAATTCTGTTCTCAGGATTGAAATGAAGGGGATTCCCCTTAACTTTCATGAATTCAGCAGGTGAACTCTGTAAAAGCTTTAGATGCATGAGAATCACCTGGTGACTTTGGTGGGAAAAAGAAATAAAGAAGCAAAGAAAGACAGGCTCCAGGTCTCAGTCCTGGACATTCTGGTTCAGTAGGACAGCAGCATCCCTCAACATGGCTAAATATGCGGGTCACCCATGGGGCTTTAAAACACACTAAGGTCTGGGCCCTTCCTACCCCCAGAGAAACCAATCTAATTGTTCTGGAGATATGTCTGGGCATTGGGATTTTAAAAATTCCAATGCCTAGATAAGTTAATTAATGAAAAGCCAAGGCCCAGAACCATTGATCTCAAATAGTGGTGCTAAATGCATCAAAGATCCTGCAAGGTTTGTTCAAGACTGATCCCAGCATGTCTGACAGTGGCTAGAAATAGGCTTGGGGTGGAGCCTGAAGATTTGCATTCCTAACACAGTCCCAGGTGATGCTGGTGAAGCTGAATTGGGGACCACACGTTGGGGACTGTTGGTATAGAAGGAAGGGGTTGGGGCCAGGATAGGCATTTTTTAACTGGCAACCAAAGGATCCTGATACTGAGGGTCTGTGGCCCATTCTCAGAAACAATGTCCTCTGTTAGTTGAGTGAACTGGTTAAGCTGAAAATCTGAGCAGCGTCAGGTGAGCACCCAGAGATCTTCCGCATTTCTCTTGTTTAATGGCACTGGACTTTCCCCCCAGTTCCTATCTCCCAATCTAAGTACTTATTTCCAGATATACTCTACTGTCCTAAAGAATGAGTTGTGGTCTTCCCAGAGAGGCAGTATAACAAGGGGTTAAGAGAACAGAGTCTGGACCCAGATGTCTGAGATGAATCCCAGGTCCTGATGCTTGAGGTCAAGTTGCTTAATGTCTCCAGGCTTCAATTTTTCCATCTGTAAAATGGGATGCCTGCCAATTATGAGAGCTAATGTATGTGAGATGCCCTAAAGAGACATTGGCACATGGTAAGTGCTATATAAATATTGGGTACTATTGCAAGTCTTTCCTCTTAGGAAATAAATAAATTAGGCTTCCTCTTGAAAAGGGGAGAGTTTCACGAGCCTCCCGATTGGAATGGGTATGAGAATTCTTTCTCTGCTCTCCTAACATTTGCTGTGTGTCTGCCACAGCACTATTTTGCTCTATCACTTAATTTTCTCTTTGTTCACAGCTAGGTGAGATCCTCTTTAGGGAAGGACTATGTCTTTCTCATTTTTGGATTCCCAGAACCTAGCACAGTGCCAGACACATGACATGCTCTTAGTAAATGTTTGTTGAACAACTGAATGATGTGTCTGGACAAAAGAAAAGTGTCTTGCTGTTCCGGAAGTTGTCTAGAATCATCTATGAGTGGGCAGAAATGACTGTCCAACATACAACTGGTCTTTCTCCTGAAATATGGGGAAAAGGGTGAAGGTACAAATGGTACAAGACAAATGATCCTCATCATAGAGTGTTCATCCCTAAGTCGGCTGGTGGTGCAGCCACAAGAACATCATGATGATGGATGTATGTGTAAGACATCACATATTTTTATCACACAGGATACACTACCTGATTCCCCACAAGGACTGGCCAGATGCTTGCCAAATCAGTTTCCTCTTCTTCTTGCACACACAGACTACATTTCCCAGCCTCCCTGACATCTATGTGAGGCCAAGTGACCAGGTCTTGCTAATAGAATCTGAGCAAACTACACTGTGTGTCATCTCCAGGAGGAGGAGGCTAAGAGCATGTGTGGCTTTTCCGGGCTCCTATTTGTCTTTTTGGCTGCCAGCCAGATGTAGAGCATCAGTGCCTAACTGTCAGGCCCTAGCAGTTGGTGGAGCTCCAAGATAGAGGGAGCCTGGGTCCCTGATGGAGTTGAGATGAGTACACACACACACACACACACACACACACACACACACACACACACATGCTCTGTCTTCTATCCCAACTCAAGTGAAAAATGAACTTTCATTATTTAAATTACTGAATGTATAAGTTATTTGCTACTGCACCGATCCTACTTATAAACATAGAAAACTACAAGCCCCAACTTGGGGTTTTGAAATGTGTTGACAACATGTAAAGCATGTTCATGTGGATTCCCACAGACCACTTCACTGCCCATGTCAAACGTAACACGGATGCCTGGTCAGTGGAAGCAGCTGGACAGTAAAATATACAAGGAAGCTCATTTGGTGATTTCTTCATTTTTGGAAATAAAACTAAAATTTTCTGGGAAAAAAGGCAGAACCTCAAAGACTCCTAACTAAAATAATAATCCTCTCCTCTGAATTGGTACGATTTTACAACTAGAGTCTTTCCAGAAAAATGTGACTGCTGGTGCCTCCTTGGGGCCTCTCAGGAACTTCTTACGAGGTACACCTCATAGCCAACCAAAAGCCACGTACCATAAACTGGGCTTTGCTTGGCTCCATGTCTGCAAGGCCTCACCGTCCTTACTGGTTCTCCCCACCAATGTTATATTACTGGCTGGTAAACTCACCATATTCTGGCTGCTCTTTGGTTTCAAAAGTCCGGTGGCCTGGGGCTGGGTGGTCCCACCCCCTGGGGGGGTTGAGGAAGTTGCTGTCGTCCGAGGTACTGTCGTACTTGTAGTCCTGGTCCCCGCTGTTGGCCCTCGCCAAGGACAAGGACCTCTGCCACCAGGCCCGCCAGTCAGGGGATGGGACTGACCAGCTGGGCTTATTCTCCGGATGCTGATCTTTATCTGCTTCAGACTCGGGACCATCCACAACCTCTATGGTGACCTGAAGAATCCAGAAGAGGCCAGGGTCAACAAGGAGTCACCAGCCTCCAGGCTGGGCACCCTCGGAAGGAAGTCTGAGGGAGCCTGGGGAAATGATGAGCCAGAGCTGAGACTGCATCGTGACACAGAATGGACAACATCCAGAGAAGGCCCAGCAAGCCTCCTGGCTAGAGAACAGTGATGAACGTGGGCTTCAGGGTAGGAGGAGACAATTCATAACTAGGACTCCTGATTTACTGATGACAACATTGCTGGGAAATCTTTAATTCAAGGAGTAAACATGTACTACATGGGTACCTGAAGTGAGACAAGAATAATTATAATAAAACTGAACACTTACTAACTCTGTTCTAAATCCTCTACATATATTAATTTATTTAATCCTTGTACCAACCTTGTAAGGTTGGCACTACTCATTGGCCCCTATAGTTGATCATTTGCAAAGATGGCCTGGCGATTCCTGCCATCCTTGTCTGTGTGTGCCACACACCTCCCATCCAGAGGTGGAGTTTATTTCCCCTCTCTTTCAATCTGGCCTGGCCTCGTGACTCACAGTAGAATATGGCAGGAGTCATTGTGGCAAGCGTTATGAGGTCTTGTAACCTCCATTTTCATTCCCTCGTGATGTTCTTACCACTGTGTAAGGAAGCCTTTCACTCAGAGCCCACATGAAGGGAGAGGCACACAGAAATGAGCACCTCAGCCAATGGCCAGCTGCAAGGCCCCAGTCATGGATGGGGCCTTCTTGGATCCTCCAGCCCAGGCGGGTCACCCAGACCATCCAGCTGAGCCCTGCTTAAACTCCCAACCCACAGGACAGTGAGCAATCCAGTGGTCATTGCTTCAAGGTATTAAGTTTTAGGGTGGTTGCTAGACAGTAAAAGACAGCTTTTGACAGACAGGAAAAACTGTTACACAGATAAGTTACCACCTCACCTGAGGTCACAAGCTAGTAAGTGGCAGATGGGGATACTCTGGCTCCAGAGCCCATGGTCCTCCCAAATTTACCACACTCCTCTCAAAAAGTAACAGAGGTACCATCTTCTCAAGGGACTGAGGGAGCAAAGGGGTCCCAGAAGCTGGAGGGGGCCTGGGTGCCACGGGTTGTACAGAGATGTGAGTGCAAGGTCCTCAAGACCCACGCTTCACAGCTGTGATTTCACTCATCCCAAAGTCCAGCCTCAGTGCGTACACTCCTCACCCAACCCCTCAGGGTCAGAGCACAGTCCCGCAGCCAAGGTTAGAACTTGCTCTCGGATTCACGGAGCCTAGTTTTGAAATCATGGGGCTGGAAGAATGTAGTTTCTTGGCTCTGACAGACAATCAACATAGAGAAACTTATTTAAGAAATATAATAAAAGACTCACTGGGTTCCTTTGGCCATCACACTGCCCTTGCAACACCCCCTGGATAAGTTATGTGCAAATGAATCAGAAACATGTGCTCCCAGTAATCAGCGCAAGATGTACTGGGCAGATGCACTTCCAGCTTTGCTTTAAGCTGGCAGCTGAGTTGCTGGGATGCTCTGCCAAATTGCACTGGGGTGTGCCTACCCCCGGGACAAACAGTTCCTTCCTTTTGTGTTAGGAATGGGAAGGTCTGAATTCTACTCTCTTTGATAAAACAAAGTTGCCTTGCCAATGGTGGGCCTGAGCTGTGGCCTTGTGTGGCCCAGACACAAGGTCCAGAACGTGGCCTTCAATCGTGGAGTAACCACGGGCTGTGGCAAACTGAGTGCATCTTTCCCTCTGGTGTGGGATAATACCTAGACGGGCATGGCTGGCTTAGTTCCATGCCAGCACCATTACTCCAGTCTTGTAAGCATACCTTGCATACCTGTAAATAATGATGGAACTTCTTATAGTTCCTTAGGAAGAAAAAGGGGAAGAGAAGAAAGGGAAAACATCGTCCGTCTAGGATCACTGCTGTTCGCTGCACGGGCTGTTGGCGAGTGATGGCGACCTGGACCAAGGGCAGAAGGTGCCCCCAGCTGGGCAGGACTGTGCTGGGCAGGGCAGGGCAATGCTGGGCCTTTCTCCTTTACAGTCCCAATCCCTTCTGCCTGCACACAGAACCACCGAGCCCAACAGTTGTCTATAAGGCTCTTAAAGGTCTTGGAGGAGGGGAGAGAAGCTGCCTAGAGCCAGGCAAGCCTACAATTATGGTAATAAAATCCGTCTCTGGGTAGGAGATAAGAGGGAGCATGCCCAACAGTTTTGGTATTCCATTTGTATTCAGACTGGAGTCAAAGGGATTGCCTAAGCCAAACGTGTTCTGCAGTTTCTCCAAGCTGGAAATAAAAACAATTTCATGTTTTAAGCTATTACCGTCAATATGATTTCTTTTCTCCCAAACTACTGCTTAGATCCAAACAAAATAGATTTGTTGCCTGGCCAGGCAATAAGTAGCAAAATATGAATCTACTCCAAAAACTATATCGATGACCAAATCTCAACAGCTTAGAGGTTTCTTTTTCCACCTTTAATTTCTAGCTGCTGCCCCATTTGAATTAAAAACAGAAAGCAAACAAAAAGCACGCAAACCTTAGGATCCACCTTTCCCTACGGTTAATAATGTGGAAACCTCATACTGATATCAAAAGAAGAAATCTAAGCTTGAACCTGAAATTTCATAGGCATCCAACTAAAGAGACTTAATGAGTATAATCAGTGCCTTCTCAAATGGTGGGGGTTAGTTTTATATTTCCTGTTGCTCTCATTCTATTTACATATTCTTTAACATCAAAGAGTCCATTTATAAAGTTGCCTTGAACAATGATCAATGTGATGAGCTGAAGGTGTGGGAGTGAGTGCAGCCAATTTCAAGCTTATAAAGACTCTAGATATTACCATCCTTTCTCTTCCTTAATACACATAATTGAAGTGTCTTAGTTTATTAATTTCTTCTGGACAGTCCCACACCATAAATTAAGACAGTAAAAGAGAGAGAACTCTTTCGAAAGTCAAACTCTTGGCAGACCTCATCAGCTCCAAAAAAAGATAATACAAAATAGGTACCAGTTTAGAGAATTCTGTCCAATATTGGGAAATGAGCACAAGATGCTATGAAATGTTACCAGCTTCTTCCCTCTTCTTGATAGTTAAAACATTTCTTAGAAACAAACTCTTTACTCTTACTCTGAAGAGCATTTCTATAGGAAAACTAACATAATTCTCAGTCTGATGTGAAACTAACAACATTGAAAATACAGAAGCCTTGACCTTCTCAACACAGGAGAATCTTCTAGAATCTTCTAGCTTATTGGCACTTTAAGCCTTAAGAGTTGTGGTTACTTAGGCAGGCATGGGTTGGTGTTTCCCAGACAGGATAATGAGCCCTGAGAGATGAAGTGATTTCCTCAGGAGCACAGAGCATCCAAAGACAGGAAAATAATCTCCAGTGAAGGGTTAGGCCCCAGATTAGGAGACCGACAGGAAAACAAACTAGGAAGATATATAATCCCCTCCTCTCAGACCTACTGCTGCTCTAAAACAACTGTGGCCACCCCAGCTAACTGAGGTTAATGCCTTAAGGCTTGCAGCATTAAGCTTGTCTAAACATTATTGCCTGTTCTAAAGTTAGAGCCACATTTCAGGCATGGAAATCGGTTTGGAGGTAAACAGCCAAAATGGTGTAGAATTGGTCTCAAAACGAAGTCTTCTGATTCCCAATTATTTTATACATGTTTCCTCTGTCATCTTCATGCCCATTTTGTCATCATTAACCCACATCTTCCAGTTTGGGGAAGCTCACCATATATATAGTTGTCCCTGTGCTATATGCTATAAGCACTTCACATGGACAATTTCACTTAATCCTCACAACAACCATCCTATGGGTACTCATTGGTAATATTATCATTCCCATTTTATAGACAAGGAAGCTGAGGTACAGAGGAATCTGCACAAATCCATGGAGGCCAACCTGGCCAACTAAATGGTGTGGCACCAGATCCCCAATGCAGGTAGTGAACTCTGCAGCTCCTGTTCGGACAGCAATGCCCCTGTAAGAATATTAACAATAGTCTTGTCCCCATGAGTGTGTAGGTCCATGTCTTGGGTACAGAAATATTTTGGTTCTGACTCGGTCAGACCTGCCATTCCAGAAGTATTTTAGAGACAAAGGAAGAAGGGGAAATCAAAAGTAGTAGAAGCAGGTACAATGATTGTAGCCCCAGCTAACTCATCTGATTGTATCTTGTGGCACTCAAGAGGCTTATGGCCATGTAAGTCAGTGCAAGGAAAAAAAAAGGCCTTGGATGACTATTTTTAAGTCTCCCTCAGTGGAAGAAAAGAAATGAGTATATGGTTGTAATGAATACTAATCTCAGCTTGATCCAGGAAAGAGAAATATTTGGTTGTGAAAAGCTACTGTGGTAATAAATTGATGCAGTAAGACTAATAATGAGTTTATTTTAGAGATTTTTGTCTTTGTCTTTGACCGTCAGCTGTGGACCAAAAACCCAGCCAAGGATACTAAAGTTCAAGCCTAACTTGTCCTGGGGGATTTACTTTCTTTCCCCCCCCACCCCAATGGTTTATTTATTTATTTTTAACAAAACCCACCCTCAAGTATTGTTTTAAATTTAATATGGAGATTGGTTCAGGAGTTTGAGGCTCTTTCTTTCTATTCTGCGCATTGTTGTTTTTCTCCCACTGACTTCCCCAGCCTGGAGCCAATCTTAAAATGGAAAGCCTGATCCACTTGGGATAGCGGCCACCTGGCTCAGGGGGGTTACAAAACGCTTTATAAAGCTGGGCTTTTAAAAGGATTTTCCTTCCTAAGAGTCAGGAGGCCCAGGAGGGATGTGGTCCTTTGCAATGCGCTCGGCAGTGTCACTTTGGAAAGGCCTGGGCTGTCTGGCAGGAGGGACAGTGGACCCCAGTCCTAGAGCGTGGGAAACCCTTGCAGACACTGGAGGGGCTGAGGGTGGCTCTGAGAGAGGGGTATCGAATTCCTGTTCAGATAACTAGGTGGGGGTGAGAGGCAGGCTGCCAGGGGAAGGGGAAGACATGGCCAGGGCCCTGGCAGAGGAAGCCGACACACTGATGTGCCCTACACCTGTCTTCACTCTGCTCCCCAGGGAGAGAAAATGCTTTGAGGGGCCCGCAGTGATCAGAGGGGCTGTCTGCTTGGCTGAATTGCCCCGTGTCAAACCAGTGGATTTCAACAAAAGAGCAGTGCTCTAAGGAAAGGGCGAGGGCTGCCAACATGGAAACCATCACCCCCTTTTAGAAAGCACCTCATCTTTTAAAGGACCACCAGAGAACAGGTTTACTCAAGTGCAGTGGTGCATGGGCGGCAGTGGCCAGTGCTATGTGTGTGTGTGTGTGTGTGTGTGTGTGTGTGCACACACGTGCACACACACACACACACACAGGCAGACCCAGGGCTGGGGCTCCCCAGGGTAGCAGCTGCTTCATTCTTTCTTTGAAGATCCTTCTGAGTGATCAACGTTAACCTTTTGTGGTCTTCCAGAAAGAGAAGGCCAGAAATGCAGTTCAATTTTCTTTTCTTTAGGGTTGCCAGGTGATCACATCAATACAACATAGGAAACAGGCTGCTCTCTCCCTCTGTCCTGCTTGTGGATGGTTAACAAACACAGGGATTGTATGAAGCAGAAATGGAGTGATCCAATTAGGCAGTAGGCAAAATGATGGTGTTCACCTAGTCTTTTTGGGCTTTTGACTAATTGTTTCTGGACTGGAGCTTCATTTATTTCTAATCCATTCTACCAATAACCCTGGTATTTGGCACTACGGGGAACCCCAGTACTCTTGGGAGTTATGGTGATGTTTGCTGTTCAAAGAGTAACTCAAGAGAAGTATGGAGAACTTATACAAGTGGCCCTGTCCCCCCTCCCACCCCTGCTCCAAGGTGTCCCTTTCAGAGGCAGCACCTAGAAGTGAACTTCTTGTTCCCTGACTGGGTGGTAGTAAGACAGAGTTAAAACAAAGCAATGATTCTTACTTTTTCTGTTATAAGTCTATGGAAACAGGGCTTGGGGTTTCAGAAGGGACAAGGCAAATAATCTCCACTTGCACCATCTCCGCAGCCATACTTTCCTGACAGTGCACAGGGAAGCTGCATTTTATAAAAGTCTGAGAGGCTTTGCCAGAATTCGCTGATAACTGACCTCCCATTTATTCTCTGCTTCCTCGTCTCCCTCTAGTTCTCTTCATGCCCATCAACTCCAACAGCCCCTCAGGAAGTCGTCCAGTGGAATTGTGCCAAAGGAGTCTTCACTTCCCATCTGCTAAACAGCACTGCTTATCATGATAAGAAATGAGCTGTAACCGTGGCTGCCCTACTGAGCTCATGCACACACCCATCACATGGGCTGTACAGGGCTTAGCACTTCATGGTGGCCCTATTCTTCTTTTTGGAAATGTAATCTGGGTCTCTCAGCTCAAGGATCCCAACTGCCTTTGCACTAGTGTTCTTCCCTGACATTTAGTTCAATGTCTAAAAAGGCCCAAGTGGGCCCTGGAGGTTTCCTGGTTGATGATGTACCTGGGAGAGAGAACAGGGATCCTGAGAAGTTCTGCTCGAAAGTCAGGTCTTAGGTGGAGCCCATGCATTTAGTAACTTTTCAGTGAAAGGACAGTCTCCTTGTGGCCTTCTATTACCCTACATCAGGGCCAGTTCTTGTAACTTTGAATTAGTAATTCTTAAAGCTATCATGTTAATAGTTCAATCCTTAGTATTAAGCCCTACAGTAATATTTTCCATCTTGGGGAAAACACGTGAGCCACAGAAAGCCTAAAATGGTATTTGGGCAAGACCTAAGCACTGTTGGAATGAGGATGGTCTGGTCCTGAAAACATAAAATCTATAAATAAGGAAAAATTTCTCCTTCAGATAAAGGCATGATGGGGGTACAGTAAGGGGATGTCCATGCCCTTTCTGCCAATTTGCACCTCCCCAAGTGCTTCCTTTGTTCTTTCGCAGAGAGCCATGCAGCCAGTTCCTGCAGAGAGGGCAGTGGAGCACAAGCCCTATTTTTCTAGTCAATCAATTAGACCAGTACAAGACTCACAGGAAGTATTAATAGGTGCATGCAATGATTTCTGTGCATGCGCTGTCAAAGAGTGACCTCCAAAACATTTCTCACTTCTGTACCCTCAACAGGATCCTGCCCTATCTCTTCCCATCTATTCAGATCTGCCCACCACGGAACACAGTGTTTTTCCTCCCACCTCTGTTCTTTCCTGGAAGGACAAGACCTTACGTTTCTTAATTTTTCATGACTTAACACAGCATTTTATATACAGTAGAGGCTGGTTGATGTATTCAATTGAAGTGTATTCTCTGTGACATTCATTAGTCACCACAATGCTGGTGTTATGCACAAAACACCTCTAGCCGAGGAAATGAGACCTGAAATGGTGTCATGCAGATAGCACTAGTCTTAAGAGGAGAGTTAAGTGAATTAAGGGTCATTTGCTCTGGGGTCAGGTTCAGGAACTTTCTGCCATGTAAGCTAATTGGAATTTGACACAGGGAGGAAAAGTAAGAAAAAGCTGCCCCTCCCCAAAAGAAAAGAATTAAGAACAAAGCTTAAAAGTATAGAGGCAGGCAAGGGAGGAAGGGAGCTGCACAGGGGTGCACCTCCTTCAGGCATCATGGGGACCATCTCTAGGCAGAAACAAAGGGAGGTATGAGCAAAACTCAAAATTAGGCATTTGTCTCTGAAATACTGGTTGGTAGGTGAATGTACTTGGGAGGCCAAGAGCCTGGGTTGGAGCCCCAACGACTGCTTCCTAGCCATGTGCCCTTGGCAAACCAAATAGTAACTTCCTGAGTACCTGGTGCACTCTTGATAATATTGGGAAAATGACATGAGCTTCACCTCCTTCATGAGGGAGGGTGTTGGGAGAGTCCAGCAGGATTGACGTTTGCTTTGTAAAGCATATCATTTAGTGCAGTTTAGGTGACTGCTATTTTCAGTCCTAGACACTCTCTTCCCAAACCTCCCGTTCCCCTCAGCTTCATCCCATCCCATCTTAGTGGTATGAATTCATCCCTCCCTTAGGAACTTCTGTCCTCACCTCTCTTCCTCTTACCAAATTTTATCAGTCATTTACACTTTAGAGCAGTTAAGTGTCACCTCCTGAAGAAATTTCTGGTGTCCAAGGTAAGCTAGAGAAGCATTTAAGAGAGACTACCTTCCTGTGTACCTCTGAAATGGTACTATGATTTGCCTGCTCTACTCACCTGTTAGATCAACCCTTTCCTATAGTAGCCATACTTCATCAATTTAGGGAATTAATAATAATAATAATTATTATTATTATCATTACATTTCAATGTCTCTGAAATCAGGGTGTATCTTACAACCATCCATGTGTCATACTTTAATTAGCAGTGTTTTTTTTTTTTTAGTGGTTCATAAACTAATGGTTCATCTCACAATCAAGGGTGTCACAAAGAAGAAATACAACACTATTCTTATAGAGATAACAAGATCATAAGAAGGATTCATTAAGGGGGTAAGAAGAAAAGTGAGGTAAGTCAGTAGTTGCTTTGGAATCAGATCATGAAACAAAGAGATGGATTGTTTCATTTTCTTCCACCTTTCAGCTGCCAAGCATTACCTGAATATTTGGATTTTGCCCATTGATATCCGCTTTGGAAAGATCTGGAAAATTTGGTAGATCAAGGAGAAAGGATCTAGGACCATCTCTTTGCAATGAAGAGTGCCCAGCCTCTTGCCGGAATCGCTGTCTGGGAAAGGGTTGGTGGGAAGCCTGGTGGTCCTGTTGCTCCCCTAGCGCTTCCTTGGAGAGAGGAAAGCTGGTTTCTGATATAGAGTCACTTTCTATGTTGAGGTTATTCTAAAACAAACAAACAAGCAAACAAACAAATAAGGATGCATGATTTAAAAATGTTACTCTTAATAGTCCATTAAATTAGGAGCAAGGACGATTCCAGTGGCTGGAATTTAGCCAGAATGGTATTACTAACTCATTTTTATTCCCCATGGTTTAATTTCTCTATCTTCAAAAAGCCAAACAGTCAGGAAACTTTACCCAGGCTGCTACTTGGGAATTTTCTGAGGGTTAATGGGTTATAGGATATTTATTAAACACCAAAGCACATCAATATAAAATTATATTTTGAAAGAGAATAGGTGCTCATTTAGAACTGGAACCAAATTATAGTTCCCTTCTCACAGCTTCAATTAATTAATAACCACTCTGGCTTTTGTTCTAACCTCAGTGTCCAGAGTTTGTTTCTTTAGTGCATGCCATGGAGCAAAAGATTTTGACCACAGTGGATAAAATACTTGTGCCAAATCATTGACTATATCCATCCATCCAATCCAATCCATCCAACCATCCATCTATCCATCCATCCATCCATCCATCCATCCATCCATCCAACCACCCATCCATTGCTCCCTCCCTCCCCCCATTCATCCAATCAGCAAGTGTCACCCACATGCTGGGCATAGGAGACAGACCCATGAACAAGACAGACACGGCCCCTTTCTCATGGATTGTACATCTAGTTGGGGGAATAAGTAATAAATACATAGATAAATAAAATCAGATCAAAGAGTAGAGACTGCAGAGAAGAAAAGAAAGAAGAAAATGATAGAGTGTAGCCAGGGACAACATTAGGTGGATGGTGAGGGAAAACCTCTCCACACTGGTGATATTTAAGGTGAGACCTGAACACTTACAACAGTCTGGGGGAAGAACATTCTAGCAGAGGGAACAACAAATGAGACAATTCTGAGGTAGGGATGAACTTGGCTCCTTTGGGGAACAGAAAGAAGGCCAGGGAGGCAGGTCTGGAGTGAAAGAGGGTCGATGGCATGAGATGAGGATAAAGAGAGAGGGATAAGCCAAAGAAAAAGTAACAAGAAGGCATTCTGAAATGTAATGCTTTTATTCTGAAGGGAAAAGGGAAAGTCTGTTTGTTTTTCCCAGCTAGTGAAAAATGTCTCTATTTAGTTGTCACTTGGGGAAAATTTTTTCAGTGATTGAAGAATGTAGAAGTTGCTGGACCTCTTTCCCAACCAGCCCTTCTTCTCCTCTCAGTCTCCCCGGACCTCTCATTGGAGGCTTTCTCCATTCCTACGGGGATGGCATTCTCATGTTTACTGGTGGAGGAGGATGTGGAGATAGAATTTCACCAGAGTTTGGGCCAGTGGTTAGTATTCTTATTATTTTTGGGCATGTTTGGGGGTTTTGCCATATATATTCCAGTCCACTGTCTCCACCCTCGCTCCCTGCCCCACCGCAGTGCCTTTGAGCCAGTCAAAGGGTCATATCTGGTACCAAAACACTCCTGAATCTGAGCAGGCAAGGTCAGGAGTGGCCGAGGATGAAACACAAGCAGCAGATAACACCTTCTTAGAGAGGTAACCTGAGGGATTGGGGTTTCCTATATCTCTTTAAAGAGAAATGAAGCTGAGGAATAAAAATTTGGGTGTAGGGGCCACCTTTGGGAGTGTTCTAAGAGCAGGATTGAGATAGGGTGTCTGCAATCTGCTCTTTAAAACACACAGTTAGAGAGTCACAGAGGGGAAAGCTGGCTGCCCTCACCATGTTTTTGCCTGCCGCCCCTCCCCTTTTTCTCAGGAGATGTACAGAGCAGCTTTTTTGTTCACCTTTCCAGCCACCTCTCTGTCATGGCTTTCGTCTCCTGGCACATGCTCGTAGAGCGAGCTGCCCTGGCATTCCTAGGCATTGCTCTCAGCACAACAGAGGCTGAGTGTATTATGTTGAGATTGAGTTCAGTACATAAAGAAGAGAGAGAAATACAGAGAAAGAGGGAGAGAAAGAAGCATGCTAAGTCTGTCCTCACCATACGAGATCTCTATCACAGCCCAGTTGTACTGATGCGATTGTTCCCTTGCCTTGCTCCCTGGGTCCCCAACCCCAAACAGTATTAGTGAGCACAGCTGGATTCTCATGGAGAATTCCTTGCACAGACTTGGGAATATAAACCTCCAAAGAGGCACAGGATTTGCTTGCCAGTTGCTTGAGGGATCACCTGCGACTCCAGCCCACTGCAGCCACTGGGACACACTCTGCCCAGCTGGGCTAACAATGGAGCTCTCTTTGCTGTTCCCTGTGATAACGTACTCTTTTCACTCCTAATACATATATTTTAGAAGAAGACATAGGAACTGTACTTTTGTTGTTATTTGGCATTTTGCTCAGATGGTTGAAAAACCAGTGACTGGATCTGATTGGTTTCTTGACCTGACTGGAATTTTTCCTGGTAGGAGACAGACCACCACAGAATGATCCTGGCTTAGTCACAGACCTACAAAACTCATTAAACTCTCTGTAATTCAATGATCCTCCACCTAAAATAGAGATAGTAAGGAAAGTCCTGTACTGTGCCTGCAGGATGGTCAAGACCACTCAGGCTGGGTTGTGTCTGCACATGAAAAGGGAGGTGACCAGTTAGGGCAACTGGCCAGACAGTTCAGCCACAAGCACCTCTGTCAGGAATAGACTGGGGCTAAAGTCTATTTTGGCTTGAATTATGACACAGTTGCAGCATTTCTCCATCTTTCTGCAATCCTCCTCACCCTGCCTCCCACAAACAAACTCAGGGCTTGTAAAGCATTTGAAAGATGGGAAGTAATAAAGAAATGCTAATCACAATCTCTGGATATCTTAATCACTGTTGCTTTTCTACCAAACATATTTAACTGGAAACCTTGGCTCCCTGCAGTGGCATGCTCCCAAACTGTTTAGAAACTGGAAGTCCTAGAATAGGGGAAAGGTGTCTTATAATGGTTCATATAAAATAAACTCTGCTTTCTTCAATAACAAGATTTGGGATTAGCCATTATTTCAGTAATCTAGATTTTAAATCTAGGGTGGGAAACAGCAGGCAAGATCTGCTGATAATGCAGGAAAAAGCCTTTTCTTCATCTTTCTCAAGGGCACACTGCACATCTTACCCGCAGAGGCCCCCTCAGAGGTCTTGGTTGATGAACAGTACTGGTGGAGTTCATCTGGTGGAAGTATATAGATATAGTACTGCCTCTATATCACCACGTCAATCATTGAGTTGCCCTGTAATTTATTCTAGAAGAGTGAAGATTCTCAGGAAGGGCAGATCTCACCAATGAAGCTTTAAATAGTTTGTTTCATTCAGAAAAGCAAGCACTCATCTCTGAAGACGTTAGCTTGGGGAAAGTCCAGGAACTAAAGAAAAGAAACATCACAATACTTTCCAAAGTGCTTCAGGATTCATTTTGCCTAAATTCATATGACGTGAGGGGGTCTGCTCAGTTTGGGAAAACACTTCCTTGCCCACCATGTGTCTCTGAGCCGCTCTTCAATCTGCGATGATGTTGCAGCTCCAGGAGTGAAGTTCTCTCTGCAACTCTAATTTGAGAGCTGTGACTACCAGTAAAAGGAGAGGCAGAACTAAGCTTTTGTGTGGTTTATATGACATGCACTGACTGGTCAGTACTGAGGCAGGGGGTCTACAGTGGCCAAATTATCCAGCCACTGCTTGATGTTCCCCATCTCTGTGAATGGATCCTGTCCCTCCATTATTTTACAACTTAAAATTCTCTTTAAAATAGGGAAAAATCAGTCGTAAAATGTTAACAATAATAATAAAAGAGGCTCCATGCTCATGAAGGCTTTTATTTTGCCTAAGTTGGCAGACATTGGGATTGCCTATCCAATATTCATTCCTGTCTTTGGCTTATGCAGTATTGTTTCAGCTGGCAATGTGTCTGGCTAAAATTACAATTCCCAGAAGCCACTGTAGTTAGAGGTGGCCATGTGACAGCACTGACCAATGAGACAGAAGCACAAGGCGCAGGATGGGGCTGCTGACCAGGAAGCAGAGTCAGTCTGCCTTTTGCCTTTCTCTCTTCCACTTACTGCTTCCTGAAATGTGCTGTCAAGTGCTTGAGGTGAAGTGAGGCCACTGGAAGGCATGAGGTTAAAGGTCATACTCTAAAGGTGGCTGAATGGAAGGAAAGAGGGGCTGGGGACCCTGATAGCACAGTAGATCCATGATATCTGTCCTGGAATGGTAACTTCTGATCTTCTGTTACCATTACCATGAACATTAACATTAACATTGACGGGCAGTAGTCCCAGGAGCAATGTTCCCTTCCAGAGCTTCCAGGAGAGGCACAAACTGGTAACAAACTGTGGACGACTAGGGCAATTTTAATACTTTTTTTTTCTTAAAGGCTATAAAGTAACTATTCCCAGATTAATACAACCTGGCAGACTTCTTGGAGGCAGATGTGATGGCAAATTTCTGGAGGGCAAAGTACATTCTAATTTTTTAGCTATGACTCCAAATAAAAAGGTGAGAGCCCTGTTCAGCTAAATGACTCTAAGTTGGGTTCTCTGTTCTTTGCAGTTGAACCTGATCCCCAGGTGATGGACATACTGACAGGGCGTGAATCATCATGGTGGATTTCACAATGGCAGCCAGGCTACCGATGCTCAGTTCTGCTGCTAACTTTCCTGATCTCCTATTCCAAATCTGCCATTTGCACCCTTCTCCATACACTTACTATAATCTCCTCCTTGTTTCAGCATCTATATATTCCTCAAATCTATTACTCACTGTGTAATGCAATATTTCCTATAATTTGTCCTAAAATGCTATCATTAAAGTTCAAGGAGGCTGCCCTCACTGAAAGGAGCCAGAGCTCTTTGGACAAACGGCTGATTCCAGAGCTTGGGCAGCGAAGCATAGGTGAGTTTGGGATACTTTGCTGTGCCAGAAAGCAAGAAAGCTTCCAGGATTAATAGTGTCCTCCCAGAAGAACACAGGAGCCAGCCTGAAGAGCCCCCACTGCAAAAGATTAGACAATTTGGGTATAAAA